CACGGGGAGTAATTTAATGTCTTTTATGAATTATGTAGTGCCAGTAGTAGATGCTGGGAGCCAGGTTGACACCGCATATTTTGATTTTCAAAAAGCCTTTGATACCGTTGATAACGATATTTTGTTGGTAAAGTTTGCCGAGTTAGGTTTTACACCTAGCTTACTAAATTTTTTTGCAAATTATCTTAGTGGACGTAGACAATACGTGAATTTTGGAGGTTTTGAGTCGCAACCGTACTGTATTTATTCTGGAGTGAGTCAAGGGAGCAATCTCGGTCCTTTATCATTTATGTTAATGGTTAATGATCTGCCTACGGTCGTTGAGGAGGCACATTGTTTGCTATTTGCCGACGATCTTAAAATTTATTTGAAAGTAAGCAATGCTTCTGACTGTCAAAGTTTGCAAAGGGACATTGACAGAGTGGCACGGTGGGGTATAGAAAACAAATTGAGCTTAAATGTGAATAAATGTTGTGTCATGAGTTATGGTCGTGCAAAAGCCCCTCATAATTATGCTTACCAAATGAACGGCCTCGTAATCCCTTGAGTTACACACATTAGAGACTTAGGCGTCGAAATGGTCCCGCTTAAATAGCTAAAAATAGCTTTTAGGAATCTCTGCTTTATCTTAAGGCAGTGCAGGGATTTCCGTAATGTACTTACTATTAGAATTTTATATAATGCTCTCGTAAGAAGTCAACTTGAAACGAATGCCATTATTTGGAATCCACATGAAAGCAAATATAGTGTCATGATCGAAAAACTTCAAAATAAATTTACACGTTTTTAATATTTCAAGCAGTACGGAACCTATCCTAGTTTTCCACTCATGTATCCGAGTTTATTTGTACTGGGTATGGTCGGTTACAGCCGCCTGAGTGTGAGGAGAGACATCGCGCTTATTAAATATGTGTGGAACGTATTACGTGGATGGATACATCACCCAGAAGTGCTCGCTGCGCTAAAGCTACGTGTACCTGATAATTACGTGTGTTCTCGTCTCCGCGCCCCGTTACTCTTCGTGCCCACTGCTAGGACGAAGTTGCTTCAGAATGCACCATTGACACGTGCCATACACTACGTTAATATCATCTCACAGGATATTGACATATTTACATGTAGTCAGACGAAGTTCACAATTGCAGCATACAAATGCGTTGAAAATTGTAATTTTTTAATTAGTATTTTATTTTATAATCATGTTAATATTATTATTCATTATTCATTATTTTATAGTCATTATTTATTAGTAATTAGTTTTCTTATATTTAGTTTACTTATAGCATCACATTGGTTAATATAACTGTAATGATGTTATAATCATGAAATAAATAAATAAAAAAAAATAAAAAATATAGGCGTAAATCAAAATTCGCGTATGTCGCTACTCGTCTTTGCCGACGTTAGTGAAAAGGCTTACGAGTGTTCATTTATTTGAAATAATCCTCCCATTATAACGCCCATCTGTTCTAAATCTCGGGCGTCCCCATTAAAAACTATTACTCTATCCAAGCTTGAGTTATGTGCTTTAGTTTGCTCGCTAAGTTAGTACGCAACGTTTACGATTAGTTGTCATTGAGGCATCCAATTGACAACATTTACACATTTTCAGATTCGGAAGTCGCACTCTGTAGCACTCTTGTTAAGCTTAAAATTTTTTAATTGGAATAAATGTATACGATCCGTTGTTTATATTTTAAGGTTTTGAAAAAGTTACCGCGCGGCAGTCAAATTATAACAGCATCCCACATAGAGATTTCTGAAATCACAATCATTAAAATTGTGCAAAGTATTGCTTTGCCGACGATATAAAAAATATTAAAAAGGGACATATTGTTGATCTTCTAATTGATTGTAATCACCATATGAATTTTCACGCCGGTCCTCAGTACTTAATTGCTACATTACAGGAGAAATATTAGATATTATCAGTTCGCCGCGTAGTTAGATACCACATTCATAGGTGTAACATCTGTTTTAAATATAAACCTAAACCTACTTACCCTATGAGCAGACGTGCTTTGCCTGCTTGCCGCTTAGACCAGTGCAATGTATTTAAACACACAGGTGTGGATTTTCGAGCCCATTTTACAATACATTGACGTGTAAGCGTGGTATACGCAGTCTGAAGGCTTATTTATGTTTATTTTTATGCCTTATTACTAAGGCAGTGCATTTAGTACTAGCGTCGGATCTAAGTTTGGCAAGTATTTTAGACGCTTTTAAGAGATTTATATTTCGCAGAGATCCGTGTAATTTTGTATACAGCGATAACGGTACTAATTGTTTAGGCCAAACAATTAACATTTGAAATTTGCATTCAACACTCGTGTCCGCCCGCTGACTTTGTAAAGGTTACCGTCGCCCCACTCCCGTGTGCGTCGCTCGGCAGAGGGCGCGGGCGCAGAACGCGAGTGCGAAGTTAGTAGCTTGGGAGCAGCGGCGCGGTCGATTAACCTATTTTGTGGTAACCGCTGCAGCGGTTTTTCGCGCGACCAGTTTTGGTTTTTGTGGTCTAGATTTTTAGTATTTGTGCGCGTTTAATTCGCTATTTAATTTGAGATTTCGTGAAAACCGCCTCGAATTAGTTTGTCTAAGCTGTACGTTCGTGACAAGAGGCTTGTATTGAGTTTGACTGATTAAAGTAATTTCGTTTGAAATTAATTGCGTCAATTATATAGTGATTGCGTTTTGAAGTGCATTTTGCAATATTTAACTTGCTTGTGTGACATGGAACCTTGCGCGCACGCTGAGTAGAGATACGGTCTAAAATTTGAAGCTCGCATTCCATTTCGAGGGCGTGGCCCGGTTAATTGTTTTTGGAAGTCATTGTTTAATTGTATCGTCGCGTTAAGAGCCTTTTGTGTGTTGACTCTGTAGTTAGTTTGCGTGTCAGCTAAGTTGATTTTGAATTCTTATTGCGGCGTAGTATTTAATATCTTACGAAGGAATTTAATTGTTGTTTGTAACGCTGAACTTTGTGACTCGTGAAGAGATCGCGTTAGTTCCCTATTTGTAATTTGGTGATAAATGAATCCGGAACATTGAATATTGAACTTTGAACTACTGTTCGTTACTTGTGTCGGGTGGCACGTGTTTGATTTTAAGATGAACGTTAAATTAGTTGAGTTTGAAGTTAGTTAAATGTACAATAAAGTTGATAGACTGAAATAGTGAAAGGAAGAAAGAAGTTGTCATTTGGTGACCCCTGCTGGAGTGATGCAGCATTGTGGGGCAGCATGGGACCAGGCCGCTGCCCGATCACCTCAGTTGGTTCAGGTCACATATATAAACACTACTACACACCACTTTACATGCACCTACACCTACTTACGGCCTGACCGAGCCATGGGGCGACCTTAGCTTCGGAACCAGGTACGTACTATTTATTTACCTAGCCTTATCTCTATTGTGCAGTATGATAGGTCAATTGTCCATAGGCATTTCGGGCCCCGTCCCTCTGTTGCCCGTCGATGGGATTACTCATGGGCCCTAGTCCCGTCAACCTTTGTTGGGGCAGCTAGGGGCGTGTACACTAATTTTGTCGCCTTGCGCTCATATTTACAAAACCTGTGTATGTAAATAATTTAAAATGTTTTATAGAAGTAAATAAGTCTTTTTTACAAGGTAGAGCCATGCTGTAGCTATATTATACTTGTAGCACGAATGGGTTGGCTCAACCGGGAAAAGACCATGCTCTTACAGAGTACCAGCGTAAAATAGCAGCTTAATGCTGCTGTAATTCGTTTGTGGAGTGTATAGAACCGGAGACCCTATTTACTGGAAATGAGGCCTTCCGTATTAGTTCCTAGGGGTGACAACGTATCTATTTCTAATCATATTGAAGCTTAATCGAGGATAAATGCTGATGTCTATTGGCCATAGTATCCACTTACCATCAGGAGAACTGTGTGCTCGTTTGTCACCTTAATTCTATATAAAAAAGTAAATTGCTTTCTAATTTTTTTTAGAAATCTAGGGCAAGTAAACTTCGTCAAAAGCGTTGAGGCAACACGGCGAAATCTATCCTGCTTTAAAACACTGTTATAAACAGGGACTTGAAACGTTACTCAAAATAACCTTACGCGTAGTTCTAATAACAAAATTAATTCCTTGGCTATAATATAACTATACTAACAAACTGAACGAAATCTACAACTATTTTATAACAATATTAAAAATATATCGTTATTGTTATAACGATATAACATCTTTATTGATATAACGATATACTCGTAATATCTCATCATATAATCTGTCAAAGATTCTGACACATACTTTATATATTTAATTTAATATACGATGCGCACTCTCTCTAATAAATACGGCGGCGGAGCCTTGTACGGGGTGCGATAACGGAGCGGTAGTGCAGTGTACAAGTGAATCTGTAAAGTTTCAGCCATAACGATATTATAAGCAGATATAGGCATAACGTTACCAATACCTATAACGTAACGAAAAATATTGTTCTAAGAAAATGATATTTTTTAATGTTATTTTTTATAAAATGGCCAGGCAGACGTTGTTCTGCCCTTGTCGACGACCCTTCATATAATTCTATTCTATTCTATTCTATTCTATCCAACTTAAGAGATATCTTAAGTTGGACCAAACTGCACAGAGTGTGAAAAATTTCATTGAAATCAATTCAGTAGTTTAGGAGTTAATCGCAGACAAACAACGTGACACGTAACTTTTATATATAAAGATTAATAATTTTATTTTTTAGTATCGTTACAAACTTAGGAACGTTATGAGATAACATTTAGTTTAACGAAACGAAGTTCATTCCGTTTTCAATTCCCTGGCTTATAAATAAGTGAATTATAAATGTTTAACAATAAATGATATCGACTTAATTTATTTAGATAAAACTTTATAACATTTTCTATTGCTAGTAAAATTTAATATTAAACTGAAACTTTCTTTTAGCACTACGGTTAAAAATATTTTACTAAGTTGTGAAAATTAAATGTTTACTACAAATAAGGTTTGATATCTTATATCCAGGCCGCATTCATTACACTGAATATCGTGTAAGCTTGACGACACATCTGAAAAAAAACGATTGTTTTGAGAGTGGCAGGATTATACTAGCAAACATTTAGTTTTTTATGCTAAATTAAGCAAAATTTCAGGTTTTTCTTTTATATATATATATGAGATACAAGTCATATGTTAAGGGCAAAAGAGAATCCGTGTTGATGACGCGATACTCTCTTGCCATCACATCCATCAGTTTTTGATGGAAGTGTTTACGGAAAATGTTAGATAGATCGTGTAGCTTCTTATATTATGAAGTATATTGCCTGGTTTTTACATAAAAAACATTTCGTTTTTAATTATAAGTCGTTCTAGAAATGCAATAAGTTCATGATAATTATTTAAAATAACTGTAATTAAAAACACTAAAAAAAATTATTTAAAAGCTTACGAACAGCTAATAGTTGTCAGTTTTAAATCGTTTTCAGTTACCGAATGAATAGTTTTAAAATAACGTTTTTCATTACATTCGTATAACGAATCGTAACAGCAAACAAAACGTTTCTTGAGTTCTAGGAATTGCGGATCAGCGTCTCGTTTAGAACAGTTAAATAGATCGGAAGGTAGCATCAAAGGCTGCAAAGCCCTATAAGAATATTCATATTTATGGGCTGACGAGAATCAAGAAACGAGTTTACTCCTTTCTAAAAGACCGTCAAAGCACCTGCAATTCTCAGGTGTTGCAGTTGTTCACCAATGTACTATTCGCGGTGGACAATTGCCATCAAATCAGCCGCATGCTCGTTTCTCCTCTCTTCTATTAAATAACGGAGCTATCTTATCCATAAAAATAGAGGGCATATTCTTAGTCGAAATTAGTTTAAAATATAAACGTTTTACCTCTGCAAATGTCCCAAGGTTAATCGGATAGAATATAGTGCTAATACTGAGAGAAATATTGCATCTGGTTAACATAAATAACACGGTCTTCCTTATTTGAATATTTGGTGTATTTTCCCAGCCGCATGAGTAAATTGCTTCTCGCAGACTGTGTCCCTATTGCAACATAAACAATGAGATAGTAATATTCTTTATTTTTTATAGCACAAACTGCTTTATATACTACATTTCTTGCTTTATTTATTCCAACAAAATTAGGTACATTACCACAGTAAGTAACCTAAACAAACTTAGGTCAGGTTTTCACACACAATACACGCTCTTAAAAATATGTAATATGAGCACATCTACCTACACTACAAATACAAATAATTACAAAACACAAAAATGTTACTATAATCAATCGCAAAATGTAAAAAAATAAAGCAATCAAATAATGTATATTTATAACATAACAGAATTTGAGAGCGGATTTTAAAATTTTAACATTACTTCATTTAGGGGCATGGCAGAGCCCCCGCCAAGTCGAGCAACAAAGCGGCACGGCCGTACCATCCTTTTCTCGAAGCAGTTCAGGCCATTTTCGACCCCCTCTAACTTCGTTGTGGATAAAACTAGAAGCCTTAATTTAAAACGAAGTATGCATTGCATAAGCATAGTATAATTCAAATTTCATTCAATTTGAACCAGTAGTTTAAGAATTATAACTAGTCAAATTTTCTTAATTTTGTCACTCACTGACTGACTGACCGATCATCAAAATTTTAAGGCACTTCTACGACTAATAGACGTAGACTTCAAATTTAGAATATAATTTGTGTTTAGTGTATAAATCAAGGAAAAACTAAAATATTTAATAATTTCGGTTCAGTTTTCCAGATACAACAACTGCATAAATAACTTTGTAATCCTTTATAAATATATATACTAAACAATCTAATTTAATATAATATGTATTACTTGTGAGATACTTGTGTTTTCATGCGATGGCCGAGTCAATCTATGTATTTAAAACGTAAAAGATTTTTAATATTGATATGGTGACTATAAGATGTTGTTAGGTTAGCTAATTACATAACAACTTGAGAGAGAAGGATCCTTAAACATAGATCTCACAACTTTTTACGGTGGAAGAACTGAGTTGCGAGACTTGGTTTTTTTACAAGTTATATTTTTGATGGCATTAATATTAGTTTGGGAAATTTATGTTTGTGAAGAGGTGTTCCTCTTACCCATTTTATTTAGTTAAAATTCTAGGCTTTATACGTAGTAGAGCCATGCTGCAGCTATATTACTGGTATATTTATAGCACGAATGGGTCGGCTCGACCGGGAAAGGACCACGCTCTCACAGAATACCAGCGTAAAATAGCAGCTTAACACTGCCGTATTACGTATGGTGAGTGTAGAGAACCGGAGACCCATTTTACTGGAAAAGAGGCATTCCATCTTAGTCCTCACGGGTGACAACGAAATCTGCATTTTGATTCGCACATGAGGATAGATGTAGATGTCTATGGGCCACAGCAACCACTTACCATCAGGTGGACTGTGTGCTCGTTTGTCACCCTATCCTATATGAATTTATTCAAACCCTGTCCACCAGGTACTAAATATTTTTATACTATAAATACGTGGTAAAGTCAAGCTGTAGCTGTATTATAGGTGCAATACGAAGGCAAGAACTACGCTCCCACAGAATAGCAGCATAATGCTGCCTCGTATGACGACATTCGGGAACTGGAAATCCTTTTAACTGGTAGCGTGACATTCTATCTTTTTGCTCAGGGGTGACAAAGCATTTTGATTCTTAATCGATGATACCCGTAGTTGCACTTTTATGTGTATGGAGTTTACGTTAATTTGTTGGTTGTCAGCCTTAAGTGGTTAAAAAATATTATACAACTGTTATGTATCACTGTATCATATTAAACATGTTATGTATCATTAATCAATTTATGGAAAAATATACCTTATCCATTAGAAGATTACTGTAATAACAAGGCATAAAGAAGTGTAAAATACTGCTCGAGAAAAAACATATAAACTCCATGTTGAGTTCTAAAAGTCGGAGAGACTGAAAATAAGTCAATGGTTAACAAAGTATTAGCAAGGTAAAATATACTCCTAATAACACTTCAAAAATATAATATTCAAAGCGTATATAGAATACTTACTTGAATAATTTGAAATGCAGAAAAGGGTAATAAAAATGTTGTAGTTTTCATATTGAATTCAAAGAGTTCCATAAAATTCGATTGTACAGAACTAACAAATCTGCAAAATGTTTACTATTATATTTTATACCTTTTTTGGTTTAATAGAGAAAAAGACAAGGAACCAAAGTTTTTGTACCTGTGCACTGCTTGTAGCTTTTTGTTAATATCCCTTAATTTTTTTTTCATTTCCTTTTCATTTCTTGTCGCAGATATCACTTTCTCCATACGACGACTTAATATGTCTATTTGCCCACAGCTGTGTAACAGAAATATAGAAACCAAAGGATCAAATCCAATGTGCATCGCGGATGCATAAAGGTCAAAAAACAAACAAAGAAGAAATAACAACAAAAATACATTTATGGAATCTTTATACATGTCTATAATTTTTGGATATGTCAAATCAAACATTGGAACAAGTTTAAAATCTCCTTGCCAATAAGAACGCGCCATAAAATACAGAGCTTTCAAGGGAAACAGAGCACCAGTAGAAGATGCCGATAGAAGCCAAAATTTGCAAACATTTTTTCCCTTTTTTGAATATTCTAGTATTATTTGCTTTTCGTCGTGTGTGAATTGATCAGTTGTTGAATAATCTTCGTTAATGATTTTAATTAAATTTGTAATTGAATTTTGATGTCGGAGGAGTACGACATATTTAAAAGTAATAATCAAGCACACGATTGACATCGATCCGTTTTTAATAGCTTCCGTATATCTTGCATCACGAATATCATGAAACATGATTGAATAAATAAGAAAGATGAAGCAGACACTAGATGCAATAATTATAAAACTAAATTTCGCAACCCATTTTTTATCACGAGGTATACTTGGATGAGCCTGAATACAACGTAAAGCAACCATACTAATTTTAAATTCGTTATTAAATTCCAACATCATATCCTTGTTAGTAATATTTTCGAGAAGAAGAAAATTCAGTTCGTCAATGTTCCACTTTATTTCAGACGTCTTTAAATTTATTTTCTTAAATGCGACTATATTACCACTGTTATAAAACGCTTCACAGAACTTAGGTATAAATTTACTCATACATGATATGCTTAGCTTTCTGAGGTTTTATGAGAAACTCGTAGTGCCTTTGACGTTTAAATAATAAGTTTACTAGAATAGAGCATTTATAATCTAAAGCGGAGTGTACACTGTAATTGTTACAGTATATCCTTTAGATTTTTAAATGATGATTGATAAGAATAAAATTAATTATGGAGAAGTTTCAACTTAGTAATATCCCACATATTTTTTCTGCGTATTTCTATGTATACCTCATTTAGTAATTCAATAATTATTATTCGTTACATCCTATCAAAAGTCGCACAGTTACACGCGCTTGGTAAGCTGGTCGTCAACCGCAGTTTTTTTATTATTTTGAGTTGTTATCAGGAATAAGCTGTTGCGTATATTTCCTGGGATATTTCCCCGTAGTCTTAAGTTTAAAATTATATCGAGTTCTTGTTGTAACTTTAATGCTCGAAATTGATCGAGAATGAGACATATCACAGAAACAGTATCAGAGACACGAGTACAATAAAAATACTACCAGAACCTGTCACTTAGTATAGACTACATGCAGTAAGGTCATATAAAATATAGCAATTTAAAGAAATAAGTGACAAAGAAATATAGACTTCTTTGATAAACGATGTAATAAAAACGCACTTTAGCACTAAAGGTACAAGTTCAGTCATTAATGAAAGGCTTAGTAAAGAGAGGTATGTTTGCCGGCTTAGCGGACAGTAGACCGACGAAGATCAGGAGCACGCATCAACAGCAGCCGCATCTAAATCTAGAGATTTTAGCTTAAAAGTCATCATGAAGTGACCTCAACATGATATTTTGATTGTAAATGCATTCAATTTCAGTGTGTCCTGGTAGAAATAGTTAAAACCATCGATTTATAATTAACAAGTGATTTATTTGTTACTATAAAAAGATAGAAGTTTATTAACCGTGATATTTGCCACTATATTCATAGGCATAGATTGTATATGTGAAAATACGAATTATGTAATAAAATAACGAGCATGTTACTATTATCATTTCAGCCGCTCATTATTAATACAGAATGCGATGCATTGCTGTTATACGAGTAGACGTGCTGTCTACGTGCTGTTTTCGAATGTCCTTACAAATCGTCTCGCACGCAGACTTGACAACTTCCACTATCCCGAACAAACCGGTTTCCAAAAAGGTTTTAGTACCAGAGACCACATAATACATACCCTTCGGCAAATCGTACAGAAGACCGAAGATTACAATCTGCCACTTTGTCTTGCATATGTGGATTATTATGACCTAGAATGCAGGAAGTCGATGGATGCAGGTGGCTCAGGATCGTGTTTTGTGGCACTCTTTGGGAGAGCCTATGTTCAGCAATGGAGTTGTGAAGGGCTATATTGATGATGATGCATTACTGCAGCTTAAAAGACATATCTAGTGGTGGATTTAGAAGCTGGATTAGTAGAATTTAAGATATTGATTAAAATAGAATTCTATGCAAAACAAGTTTTATTATAATTTTGGACAATGCTTTTCCAGATAATGTTTCAAATATTAAACACTGGAATAAAAACAATTATACCGAATCCTTCCATCGAAACAATTCGAATTCTAAATGTTCGTTGTGTTGCAGCTGCTTGTTTCAAGCAGAGATTTAGAGAATTCTTTTGTATTTTTCAATTTAAAATTCCTTCTGAAACAAGCTATTTTAAATTTACACGCACTTATATTTTTACATATACTTATTTTATTTATACAAAATTAAAAACCTTAGTGGCATCAACGGAATGGGACTATTTTAATGTTTTTCACACTAAACACAATATCAAATGTAATCTTAATAAAATGTATAAATAAGGCGGAACCCCTTGAAGAAACGTCTCTTTTTCCTTTTCTTCTTCAATAGCTCGTTAAAGACCACTGCTGGGCATGGTCCTCTATAGTTGTAAGAATAATTTGCCTTGCTTGGCAGACGGATCGAAAATCGTTTATTCAGATTTCTGATGCTGCACGTCACGAGGCAAACCTGTCAGCCTTGCACTGTGACTTACATGTCCTTAGTTCAAAGCTCGTGTTTGTTTATTCATCTTTTCTTTGGACTAAGGGTAACAAACGCGCGCCTGATGCTAAGTATATGCCGTGGCCCATAGACATCTACGTCTATCCTAGATTAAGAACCAAAATGCAGATGCATTGTCGTCCCTCAGGACTAAGATGGAATGCCTCGTTTCCAGTAAAAAGGGTAACCGGTTTTTAACACTAAAATTAGGAAAAAAGCAGCATTAAGTTGCGTTTCCACCAGAAATGTGATAGGCCGCTGAGCGGTGCGAGGATGCGTAGCGAAACAGAAACGGTGCGCAGATGAGTGGTGCGAGGATGTGTAGCGGGCTCGATTCAGATTTGAGCAGGGTGAGGTGTGGTGCGAGCGGAGCGTGCGTGCCACTGCCCGCTGCTTCTTGCGTCCTTTTCTAGCACACATCCCTCGCAACACATCCCTCGCACACATTCCTCACAACACATTCCTCGCAACACATCCCTCGCACACATACTTTCCTTGTTTTGTATATACAAAAACCTCGCTCTGCTGAGCCGTTTTCACCAGAGCTGCGCTGAGCGAGACTAGGTAAATGAAGTGATTCTGTTGGTTCTTAACAAACACATCCCTCGCTATGCATCCTCGCACATCTCTGGTGGAAACGCAGGCTGCATTTCCACCAAGCTAGTTTTCTGAAGAGAGTGGTCCTTTACGGGTCAAGATGACCCATTCGTGCTACAACCATAATTTAGCTGCAGTGTAGCTCCATCACATATAATAAATTTATCTTTTCAATAATTTATCTTTTTATTTAAAACGACAATTATGAAATCATTCCGCAAATATTCAAAATTATGTCGCCCTGTTTGTCCTTATCGATTTTAGTCGAAAATAAAATTATCTTCGGTGCTACTAATTTAGTTACTGACTACTATAAAATAAAATAAATCAGCTTTAAGGATCGTGTGTAAAATTTTCTTTTATGTTTGCTATATTATTTGGAACCTACTAGATAAAGTTTTAATTAATTTGTCGACTACATAGGTACACAAAGATTGCAAGTTTTTTTATTAGTTATAAGAAGAACACAGAACAAGCCTAATTACCTTACCTTAGTCATTTAGTTAAAGTCAGGCCGAAATAGACAGTTAATTATTTTTTTTTAATACAATACGAATACACAAATGATAATCCTTATGTTTGGCGGCAGAGTGAATATGAGCAAATCCTGCAAGTGCGCGCGGGCTATAGGGAGAGTGACACATCGCAATATTAAAACCTGCGGCAGGCAGTAGAAACTTAGAACTATGAGTAGTAGAAGTATTCCTCAAAAAACGATCGTACAACTTTGACGTTGCATATAAAAGCTTGTAGGATCATGTTTCAAAGGCGGTTCTATTAGCTCAAACCCCACAGTCAGCTATGGAAAAGACTATGTCGAAGTTTCTCTTTCATCAGATCATATTATAGCTTGTGAAACTGACAACCGATGATGAAGGAATGTTCTCGAGAGCCTCATACCAACTAACACAGTGGTATCAAATGGAACTAATTTTTACGGATTCTATCGCGTTTAATTTAATTTTTTAATTCCCGACGTTTCGGGTGCTTTACAGCACCCATGGTCACGGTGGGGACTGAGGTGCTTGACGTCTCGATATCATAGTTAGCCCGGCTACTTTCAGTTTATGAATATTAATTTTGGTCCGATCTACGCAGAATGCGCTTACAGTATCTTGAAGTCTTGCAGTGATATACTTGGGTTTAGGTTTAATTTTATTAATTATAGGATCCCAAGCAGATGGCAGCACCCATCCATCTTCTCTATTTAAATTAGGATGTTTATTAATTTCAATGCCCTCGCGAATCGTCCTTAATTATATATCGAAAATAGTATAAAATTGAGTTACCTTTTGTCTTATTACGCCTTCTGTAAAATTATCTATTTCAATTTATTTCTTTCGGATTTGTTTCTTTTTTGTTGGTGATTTAAAAACCCCGCTATTCTTTTCACGTTTCAGGTCGTTGCCTTCTTTAATAATTTTAATTACGGTAGACAATGAGAGTCCTGTTGATTTGCAACAATTTTGTTCACGTTTACGTCTTGCAGATACTCTGTAGAACTTCAATTTTGTTTTCTAGCTTTAAATAAAGAATAAAACTTGTACGCCAAGTGTTTCGTTTGCCTGTTAATATTCTTACCAAAAATCTCGTGTGAGTTTTTTTTTTCCAAGCGTTCGTGACAGATTTAATCAACTGTTCATTGCGAGATCTGCGTGTGAACTGCCAAACATGAAAATTGTTCCCTACCGCCCGCCCCCGCCTGACTGCCCTGTAACGCCAGTACGTCAATCCTTCCCGCAAACTTCTTACTCCGCGGGTGACCCGCCAATTAAGTGGTATATCTATAGTCTTCTCACCCGCTAATGACACCACTCACAGGCGATGTAAGAAATTACAATAACTGATTGCGCAATGTATTAGTACCGTAGTGCCCGTCTAGTAGTATACATAGAAATATTTTTGATTTATCCATTGAATTCAAAAACTAAGCGCCAGTCGACGGTTTGGCTGAACCAAAATGAACCAACGCCTATCAAATAGAGTTATTCAAAAAAAAGTAAAATTGAATGTAGCATGAAACTTTCTATATATGTATGCTGGAGGAGATTGGAATAAAACTAATTTTACGCATTTTATCGCCTTTAATTTTAAATTATTTAATTCCCGTCATTTCGGGCACTTTTCAGCGCCCATGGTCACAGGGGAACTCATTGGCTGGTAGAGAATTCGTAGAAAACATTTAATTAATAAAACTTTCTGTACAGTCGGACCTAAGAAAAGT